AGCGGGAACGGGAAGGCTCAAGCTCGTCTCTCCCCTTGCAGCGAGAACGAGGAGCTGGAGGAGATCGCCTCGGCCGACCTGAAGTACCTGCTGCTGCCCGCCTTGCTGGGCGCCCTGACACTGAAGCAGGTCGACCTCAGCAGGAGGCTGGAGCACCTGGAGAGCGCTCGGGCTCACTTCTGGCGCTTCCTCAAGCTCTGTAGGAGCTACGGGCTGGGCAGCTTCCACCTGCCCCCGGCCAGCGCCCCAGGGGCGGAAGGTGCCGGGAGCCCAGCCCCCGGGAACCCGGCTGCCACCCAGCCCAGCCTGGTGGCCATGGCGGCGAGTAGGCAAGCCAAAATTGAAAGGTAGGCTCTTGCTTTGTGGGGTTTAAAGGCTTCCCAGGGCTCAGTGGCAGAGAAGGGGAGAGGTGCTGGTGGTGTGAGGTGGCACAGGCAAGGGCTGTCAGGAAAGAACTGGTTCCCTTGATGCTGAATTACTTTGATCATTAAACACTCATTTTAAGATACGCACCACATAATGTGGTGTTGGATTGTGCCCAGACTGGAGAGATGCATTTATGTCTTTTGTTTCCAGCCTTTGCACAGAAGCTCATATGATTAGTTCTTTAATCACTGCTAACAGTGTAAAGCCACCCAGATGGAAGTTATCTACTAACGTGCTTGTTGAATCTTTAAAAATGAGGTGCTTGATGCCTTTTTGTCATGTTTGAGTTGAGGATTTTGACAGTCGAGTTGATGCTTGTTGTGGTAGCAGTGAAAGGCCCACGCTGGTCTGGAGAGCTGTTCAAATTGCACTGAGTACAAAAGTGTGATTTATACTCTAGCGAGTGACCGAACTGAGGTGGGTTTGCCCTACGAGAACACATGGGGCCAGCACAGCAGAGCCTTTTCAGCACGGGGTGCTTGTCAGCAGCCTCAGAGCTGCACATCACCTCCTGAGTGGGTTTTGTTAGTGCTGCCGGCATGGCTTTGGTTACACATGAACTGCCCTCTTGCCGAGGGCTTCTGTTCGCCTCCTCCGTGACTCCTTCTGCTTGAAGACAAATGGGAGGTGCCTGCGTTGTGAGCTCTGTCACAAGCAGGTTAGTACTTGATCAGGGTGAGACATTGCAATTCTGTTTGCTTTCGGTAAAATGCGTAGGCTGCATGAGCAAGATTTTCCTAAGAAGGCCTGTATCATCACCTTGGCTCCAGGCCTGTCTCATCCCAGCTGCCTTTAGCCTCACTCTCTGATTGAGCACGCGATCCAGCGTCTTGGGGAGCAGGTTGGGATTGCAGTGGCCGACTGAAGAGAACTTGTCCTGCTGCAGAGTGTAAAGACAAACAGGAATGGGGCAGTTTGTTTTGCTTCCCTCCAGGACAGGACTGGGCAGTCGGGTGCTCGGCCGGTTAACGTGTATTTTTCAGGGCTCTTACAGAGCACTTGTGGATGGGTTTGTTTTTCATAAGGACTCTTGCTCCTTGTCCTTTCAGCTCCCATAGGTTTGTAATCCTTGGCTCTTACCATTCATTCTTCAGGTGGTACTGAAGTGAAGGAAGTGGGACACAAGGATTTAGCCTGGGAAGGGTATTACATAGGTAGTTTCCTCACATTAAGTGATTCCTGAAAAAGTCCAAAAAATCCAGAAAGCCAAAATTACATTAAAACCACACGCACAAAAACACCTGAGAGAGAAAATGGAAAAGTGTTTTAATCTGCCTTATAAGCATGATATCTTTGGGTCGTGCAGAAGCAACTCAAACTAGCCAATATATTGTTTTTTTCAGTGAAGGAGCCAATGAGTCACCATCCCTGGAGGAATTTAGGAGATGTGTGGGCAAGGTGCTCAGGGACATGGTTTAGCAGTCCTGGGTTAACGGTTGGACGTGACGACCTTAAAGGTCTTTTCCAACCTAAAAGATTCTATGATTCTAAATTCCTTCTTCTCCAGGAGGTTAATGTGGCCAGGCTTGCCTGATTTTTACCTGGGAGGTTTAATTTTCTAGGGTTGCAGGACTTTCAGCAGAAAAAAAATCACTTGATAGAGGTCCCTCTAAATTTAAACCACCTTAAAGCCGTTTTTAACAGACAGGAGCTTCTTAAATTACAACAGTAAACCCTCAGAACCTCCCTTTTTGCATAGAATTTTCTTTTTAAATATATAAAATCACTTAGAGTAGTAACGACCAAATGTAATATCTAAATTTGAGTTGACAGATGGAAGTGATGCAAAGATGGGAGGATTTTGGTGCTGCACGTAGGTATATAACTGTGCATTTTCAAAGCCCTTTTTTTTTTTAAAGAAAGTTGGAACTCCTGGTTTCTGTAGCTTTCATTTGTCAAAACCCTTCCACGGTCAGTCAGGTGAGGTGGGGAGATGCATCCCCCTGCTTCTGGCGTTTTGGCTCTTGCTCACACGTCGTTGGAGGGCATCCGTAGCTGACAGTGATCTGGTGCTGCCAGTGCTCCCCCTCCTCTTCACGGATGCATTCCTGTAAATCTCTGCTTTCCTTCCGCAGGGCTCTCGCTCAGTAGTTGAGTGGGTCCTCCTTGCACGAGGAGATGTGTCAAAGACGTGAGGAACATTATGAATATCTGGGATTTGCGTACCCCAGTGAGGACTGCGCAGTGACTGACACCTGGGAAAAGCAGTTCAGAGGAGGTTGGGACAGGCAGGAGGTAGCTCTCTATGTTTGAATTTCAAGGAATAGGAAATTGTTTAGTTTAGAGAACACTGTATCTGGGCTGCGCTGGGTAAAGGTTATCTAAACAGCCTCATTTTGTTCTCTTTGAGACAGATATAAGCAGAAGAAGGAACTGGAGAACAGGTTGGCATCTATGAGAACCTTTGTGGAGAGCGAGCAAGCAGATGAGGAGCAGATACGGGAATTTTACATACTCCAGATCCAGAAATGGATCACCACCAGCCTTGAGGAGATTGAGAGTATTGACCAAGAGACGGTCATCCTGAGGAGCAGGGGTACGGCGAAACAGGTATGAGATCTCTCTTGTGTTGCAGGTCCTGTAGCCGTTAGACCCGATCCCAGACAGTGTTGCGGGTAAATTAACCTCGGAGCAGAGTTTCCTAAGCTTTATTCTGTGAATTCTCGACTGAGACTGCATCCAGTCGCGGCACACGCCGCTGGGGTTGGGTTTCGTTCTGAATGAGCGCTGCTCTGATGATTGGATTGGTCGCTCTCCAGTGCTGCCACAGGTCCTAGAGAGTCGTGGGTTGTGAAACGCTGGAGCACTGAATATCAGAGCTGAAGCGGTCTGCGTGCAGAGGCTTTTCCTCACTTTGCTGGGTTTTGCCAGACCCGTAACTAAAGAACTAGGTACGTTTGTAAATTAAAAGAAGGCCCTGGTGATTTCTTTCAAGCCTACGCTTCTGGTCTACAAAGTGCCCAGATCTTAGCGAAAGAAATGCCCGTTCTGAATGCTGAAAGGTTTTCACAGACTGCAGTTCCTGCGTAGAAGTGTTTCTGGGGTGTTACTCACCTAAAATGTCTGTCTCGAAATACAAAGATCATAACGCGCCGACGCAGACCGTGGCCCAGCTTTGTTGGCAGAGCTGGCCTGTGCAGTTCGTTACTGGCGTTGCAGAGCGCTGCTTTTCCGTAGTGACCTGGGCGATACCATCGGGGATGATGAGCTCTACTTGCTTCAGAATGTACTGCGTTTGATCCCTGGGAAGTATCCGCTGTAGTTTACGCTTTGATCTGAGCTGATCTGCTTGAGCTCTGTCAGCTCTCTGCTTTGATCATAGAGGGTGCAACAAAGCCACAAAGAGAAGTGATTTGTAGAATTTCACAGATGGAGTCAGTGATTTAAACTGGATTAAGGCCTGAATTGTCCATCTTGGGAAGCTGCTCTGACAGCAGAGGCATTTCTCTTCCACAAGACCTTTAAGAACTTGTTGGGAGTGGGCAGCAGAGAAGGGGATTCTCATCTACACGATTATCTTGTGACTGTTGTTTGCATCTTCAGTCTTCAGCACCACCACACGGTACTTCTCGGCAAGTCAGGCCTCCGTTGAAACCTTTCATCCTTACCCGGGATGCTGCTCAGGCTAAGTATGATGTTTTTCTGATTATTTAGACACAGTGTGATGTAGTGCTCTGTTCTCACGTCAAGCCGAAGTTACTCTTTCAAATGCAGAAAAAACAGTCGTTACCTTCAGGCAGCGTGTCGTGTCGAGATGGCACGCGTTGTGCGTCTGGGCAGGGCACGGGGGGAAGATCTAATGCATTTCTTCCACTTTCCCTAATTTTTTCCATTACCTGCATGCTGTGGCGTCTCAGCTAACGCTGTTTCCTCCTGTTGGGACGGCAGAAGAGGAGGTTATATTAAGCAAATATTACTGTGCTCGTTGTTAGGCCACGTGCTTGCTGTTTGGTAGCTTATCTGCCCCTCTAACCTCTGTGGGGTATAACAGGATTGTTCTTCACACTTAAAATAAGAGCCCGGCAGTGAAAAGCACGTGTGGTCTCATCATTTAATGTAAACTCTGGATTTCAGTGAACTCAAAGAAGCGATCTTTGGGGCTGGGAAGATGTGACAGCCACCAGAGTCGTCGGTCACTGTAATGCAGTTTGTAACTGTAAGGCTTTCCCTAGGGTGTCCAGATCTTAACGCTTTGTGGCACAGTGAGGTTATTGCAAGGAATATGGCAGCTGAGGCACAAAATGGGATACAAACCTGATTCCTTGTAATGCTTTTGGCATTATTTGCCCTGAGCCTTCTGTCTCTTTAGCCAAGCCGTGCCTGATTCAGTTCCCAGGGGCTGGCTTGGCAGGCTGTGCTAGCACGCAGTTCTCTGGGCTGGAGAAGGGGTTCAAGGTCTGGACTAGAACAGTCCTCAGCTCTAAGGTAGCAGGATGAACTCCTGAAACGCCATCATGGCTAGCTTCCCGGCACGCCTGTCGCTGAAGGCGCAGGCTGTAGAAATACCTTTGTCTCCTGCCCTCCATGATGACATACCTTACGTTGTTAGCACAGATTGGCTTGCGGAGGGGTTCTGCGCGTGACGGTCTACGTTTCCGCTCGTTTGTAGCCATGTAAAGTGAGGCTTTTGTCTCTTCCTGTAGGGTGTTTGGTGCTGGATATCCTGGCCTGCCCACTATGACCGTGGATGACTGGTACGAGCAGCGCAGAAAGCAAGGAGTTGTGTCTGCTCAGAGTGTGCCTCGGAGGACGCCAGGTATGGAGTTGCAAAGCACAGATTGGAGCAGAGGATTTGGGAAGTCTCTTGAGGAGAAGGGTGAACACGGGTGTGTTTTGGGGTGTAAAACACCCTCTGACTGAGGAAGGGTAAGAGCTGACTATTAGGCTGTGAGAATAACTGGCTTGCTAGGTTGTTCTTTGGTAATTCCAGCTCCTGTTTTGGGAACTTGACTAGGGAATCTCCCAACGTTTTACTGCCCCTCACTCCTGTTCTTGACCTCCAGCAGGTATAACTGATGAAGAGTTGCGGAAGCAGCAGCAGGAGAAAAAGGAGGAGGAGGATGATGAGGAAGCTCTTCAAAAAGCTCGGAACTGGGATGACTGGAAAGATACACACCCAAGAGGCTATGGCAACCGGCAGAATGTGGGCTGATGCTCTCACTGCAGAGGGAGCAGGGCCTGGAAATCCTGTAAGAATCCCGTGTCTGGAGATCTAGGAATAAATACACTGTACATATGCGGAGGTATCGGTGGCTTCTTTGGGAGGCACTGGAGCCAGAGGAGTCAGCGTGGCAGTTTGCTTTGGTTTACACCACGTACCAGACTGAGCGCACTGGCCACGCGCAGTGACGGCACGGAGCGCCTGTCAGGCGGGACTCTTTCTGAGGGGTCAGACTGCCTCCGCTCTCCCAGCCAGAGGAAGTCCTTGCAAGGAAAGCACGCGAATTTGGAAACTGCTCTTTGTATTGTGGGTGGATGTATTTATTTTTTTCCTCTATTTTAAGGAAAATAAAATCTCTTGTGCTGCCTAGTTCTTGGGGTGAACATCCCTTTGCCCTTTGTCCTAGGCTCTTCCGGAGCAGTGCTGGTTCCCAGCAGCCAAGGGAGCTTGGGGATGGGAAATAGGCCATGTCACATGGCCGTGTTTTTTCGGCCGAGGCTCTGAACAGTGCAGTGAGGTGCTCACCTGGGCAGGGAGGTCCATATGCAGCCAGGTGCACCGGAGGCCGTTCCACGGGCTCATCCCACTGTTCCTTCCAGGGAAGTGTTTGGGATTTTTGTGTTAAGTAGATCAGGTTGTTTCGAGGGCCATGTCTTGAAGTGCTGATAGTATACATAGTCCGAATGCCTCAGCAGAGATATCTGTGCTGTGCTTAGTGCCATGGGGCTGTAGCAAACGGGCTGTAAGGCACGGGTGGGTACTGGTGCCCTGCTGGGCCAGCGCTGGGACAAATGGTGCCAAAGGATGCCATTTGGACAAAAGGAATTTGGACTTTTTTTCCTTCCTATTGGCATGATGCAGGCACAACTGAGGGACCAGCAAGGCTACAGGAGAGTTTAGACGTTGTATCCATAGCAATCTCGGCTCCTCTGAACTGCCCACCTCTGCAGTGAACCCTGTTGCACCCTTCTCTCCAGGTACCGAGTCTCTACCGCCTACAAAAGCAGGTTGTGAGGTTTTTGTGTGTTCCAGACCTCTTCTGCGAAACCTGCTTTTAACTTTCAACAACGCGCGCGACCCTTGACGTTTATTTATCCATTTCCGACGTTTGATGTTCCCTGGTTCTTCCTAGCGAGTGCCTCTGGAGCGGTAGGTCCTGGGAAATGGCTCTAGGGAAGCAGAAGCTGTGGGGTTTTACTGTTCCTTTGGCTGTTGGCCTGTAGCCCTGTCTCAGGACTGCTTTTGGGCTGGTTTTGTTTCTTTTTCTTATTTTTCTCCCCTCCCAAGTCCTCTCCAGGCACTATTCCAGACCTGCAGGGATAGCTGGCAGAGCTGGCCGATGCCGGTGCCCCTCTCAGGTGGAAGAGGAGGCTGGATGGTGGGGCTGAGCCCATCTGATGGGCCATGGTCCCATTCTGTGGAGCGGGAGCGTCAGGGATGACGTTTTTGGGTGGCCCTGGAGGGGTGGTCACACCGGTAGAGCACAACAGCGGTTTGTGAAATCCCCAAAGTGCGGACGGTACCATTCCCTGGGGGAAGGCGGCCCCTGGAGAGCCAGCACCGGCGCTGGCAGCGGTGCCTTCCCGAGGCGCTGCTGCTGCCCTTTGTGACTCCAGCTCCTCGTTCGGAACAACTCCTCGTCCTCCCAAGGACCATCAGCTCATCTCCCTGTTCTGCAAGCTGGGGCCAGAGTGGGTCTGCTCCCCTCCGTGGGGGACGGTTTACCTTGGATCAGCTGGATACACAATCAATCACTCTGCGGTATTTCCAAACCGGCCTTTTCACCCGCTGAACGAGGGTCTGGCGCAGAGCTCCTCGCCACCATGAAAACCATTATCGCAGCCTGTTCCCAAAACCTTAGCGGTAAGATATTTCCAGAGCGCGTTTGAGTGGTTTCCGATGCTCCGGAGCTGGTCAGGCAGTTTGCTTTTTTTGTTGTCACCATTGTGTATTTGCCTTGGAGTGCTCAGGGGAAAGGGAGGCGTTGGGAGCAATTTGGGGTTAGCAGCACCAGAGGAAAACACACAGTTGCTCAACAGGGCTGAAACTTCTGACAAGGTATTCGGTAACGTTACTCCCGCAAGATGCTCCAGCGTGCTGCAAACTCCATCTTTCCTTGCTGCTTCACGCCGTGGAGTCCAAATTTCTGGGTTTGAAAAGGGCTCTGTCGCTGCAGATGGGGCTGGCAGCGGAGCCACTGGGGTTTCTCCGTTTTCTGTCTGTGGTCTGGACATTCGTGGAGTGCTTGGGGTGGGGGGGCGAGAAAAAGGAACTAAAAAAAGCAACTGTTTGGTTGGCACAGATTTGCCAGGCAGAGCTCTGCGTCTTCCTTGGGAAAAAAAGAAGGGGCTTTGGAAAATTGACACGGCAGGGCTGTGCGGGCGGCTGGGCTTCTGGGGATGCCTCCTGGCTGGGTGTGCAGGGACGGGCAGGAGGGGTCGCTTAAATGACGGCACGCTGCTTGGGGGAGAGGGAAAACAATTTTTTTCAATGCTGGTGATGGCTCCCGTGTTTAATTTATTTCAATTTTCCCATTCATGATTTGGATTGAGATGGGATGCACTGAACCTCCACCAGCCATGCAAACCTGGGTGGCTGTCCTCTGACCCGAGGGGCCCCAGCCCAGGCAGCCATGGGGGGCAGGTCTGCTCCCCTCTCACCTTGAGCATCTCTGTCTGGCCAGCATGCTGATTTGGGGTGTTTTCCCAAAGAAAACGAGGCTCTTGTGACAGAAGAGCCATGGTAGCGCTCTCTGGTCACAGTGGTGGTCATGCCGGGTGGTCTCGGCCACGGTGGACCTTTGGCCGGGAACAGTGCTGGCAGACCGGTGCCTCAGGCCCGTTTCGGGGAGGAGGGATGGGGCCAATGCATGGAGTTTGGATCCTGGCGCCTGGCCTGGAATGGTTAATGGTTCACCAAGGTTAGCTGGAGGGAAGGGGGCGGTGGGGGGAGTGGAGCGGCTGCGGGCTGCCGGACTGTCCCTCCTGGGAGGCAAGGCTCAGTGGGGATGGCTGTGGGGGCGGTCAGCCTCGGTCACCCTGGCTCAGCCCCTGGCCACTGTCCTTGGCTGTTGCTGAGCGGTGGACCCTGTCCCGCACCTCCCTGCTGCACCGGCCTGGCCGCGAGAGACCCAAATTATCTGTGAGCCTGTGTGTGCCAAGGAGGGCACGGGAAAGGTCCCGGCCTTCAGGAAGCTCGGCATGGTGCAGGATGTGCCGCTGCGCTTGGCTCCACTGGTACACCCAAGCTTAGGGACACATTTGAGCTCAGGGACACCCAGCCTGCCAGCTGTCCCCTGCCCAGAGCACGGCTGGCCCCAGAGCAGCCTCTGTTTGCCCAGGGCTACCTCCTGCTACGGTCCAGAGCTCTCGGGGACGAGCATCCCTCATCCCACCATCCTCTCCCATCCTACCTCCCGCCTTGCCCTAGTATCCCAACAGCCGTGGGCACCACTGGATTTGCCCCCCCACCAGCTTGGTGGGACAGCCTTGTGCAACCTGTGCTGTTTGGGGCTGGGTGCATGTCCCTCTACGCAGGCAACCGCGCCAGTGTCCAGACGGCCCTGCGCACCCTGCTCGCAGCACCCTGGCCCTCACAGCGGAATGTCCGCTCCTGGCTCCAGCTCCTCTCCGTCCTGCAGTGGGTGCTCAGCTTCCTGCTGCTGGGTGAGTAGGGGGCTGCGGGGGGTGGTCCCGGTGGGGTGGGCACACACCTGCTCACCCACCTCCCTGGCTTCTGCAGGAACCGTCAGCCTGCTGCTCCTCATTTACCTGGTGTTCACCAGCTTTTGGCCCATCTCTGCCCTCTACCTGGCCTGGATCATCTTTGACTGGGACACACCGGAGAAAGGTGGGGATGCACACAGAACCCCCCCTTCCTCCAGCTTTGCAGCAGGATGGGATGCGGGGTCTCCCCTTTCTCTGAGTCCGTCCTAGTGTGGCAAATGGGGGAACCCCACATCCCACCTGCTCCTTCCCTCCTCTCCCCCATCATCACATGGGGGGTGTCATCTCCGGTGGTCCCTCCCCTGTTTGCAGGTGGCAGGAGGCTGCCGTGCCTGCGGAGATGGCCCGTGTGGAGGCACTTTCGGGATTACTTCCCGGTGAAGGTACGGCACAGGGAAAGGGGGTGCCGGAATGGCACGTTCATGCAGAGAGGGGTGGTGGTACCACCCGAAAAGATGTGCCGCTGTAATGGTGCCCCTGTTGTTCCCGCAGCTGGTGAAGACACACGACCTGTCCCCCAGCCACAACTACATCATCGGCTCCCACCCCCACGGCATCCTCTGCGTCGGCGCCTTCTGCAACTTTGTCACGGGCTCGACAGGCTTCGGGGAGCTGTTCCCAGGGATCCGGCCTTTCCTCACCACCCTGGCCGGCAACTTTCGCCTTCCCGTCTTCAGGGAGTACCTGATGAGCGGGGGTGAGCATCCCTGGGCAGCGGGACAGGCATCTGCCTGCCCCCCTGGGCACTCCTAGAGGCATGGCCAGATGTGCTGGGTTGAGCTGAGGGGGTGCTCCGGGCACTCACCCCCTGCCCACCCTGCTCCTGCCCACCTCTGCCTGCCCCCTGAGCCTGGAAGGGGCAATGCCCACGGGGTCCAAGGTCCTGTCTGCGGGAAACCCGTGACAGATGGCCTCTGCGCTCCCTGGGAGCAGGCAGGGCAGGAGCGATGTCCTGCCTGCACCCTGCCCTCACCCTGCCTGCACCCTGCCCACATTGCTGGCAGCCCTGGGGACCTCGTCCCTCCCTGGGACCTCTCTCGCAGTAGAGGGAGCCCTTGCACTGTCCCCTGCACTGTCACCTGCATGTCCTTGCATGGTCCCCCCAGGCCCGGTCCCTTGAGGGGTCCCTCGCAGGGTCGCGGTCCCCCGGGCTGTGCGGTCCGGCAGCACCGGTGGTCCATCCCACCACAGGCCTGTGCCCAGTGACACGTCGCGCCATCGGGTACCTGCTGTCCAAGAACGGCACCGGCAACGCGGTGG